CTAATCATCTGAATGTGAGATATCCTTGTGTAAGAAGATATAAACATATAGGTAGCAAAGAAGTTAAAAAAGATGATCAATACAATGTATGTGCACACATAACAATACCATAAAATTGCTCAGCATTGTTCTCAGAAAGTGCTTGTGATTATGTTTTGCTTTATAATTTAACAGTTAAAATTAAAGGAATTCAGCATTAAAATTATTTATTATTTATTTATTAAAGCAGTTAAACTTTAACATTCTGTCTTAGACAGAAACTTATTTTTTATTTAGAATATTGTGAAACATTAATAACTCCAAAGCCTAAATCTACAAGATAAATAATAAGAGGGCAGATAAATTCTATTTCGTTTTAATACAAACTATACAAGAGGTATTTAATAATTGAAGGTAAATATTTTTCAAATTTTATTTTGACAAGGGGTAATTGTTTCAGAGTAAATTCCCAGCAATTTTTTTTCTGGATAGTACATAAGATAATAGTAAATCTGAGAATTACTGGAAGTTTAGATTCCATGAATTATGATAATTAATATTTAGTTTTGCTTCTAATCATTTTATTTTCTTTCTTTTTCATACTACCCTTATTTTTCTCATTTATCATAGTTTTTCACATATTTCTCATGTTTTTTTAATCTATATTTTACAAAACGCATAATAAAATTAATTGCAGCAATATTTATAGGAGAAAGTGTTTGAAATATACCAAATATCTCATCAACAGGGGTATGGATAAATATGCTACTCAATGTTTATATTAAGTAAAATTCTACAGCTATGTATTTTGTTGGAGTGGTAAATATTATTGATAGAGAAATACTAACATATTTACAGGTAAAAGAAAGAGACCAATAATTTTTTTTATAATCTAAGTTTGGGGAAAATAGGCATATTTATGTTTAGAAAAACACAAATAAGGTTATACACCCAAATAGTTAAATTTGTTTCAGAGTTGCAAAATTGGAGAGAAAAAAATATGAACCCATTAATTTTCACTTTTTAATATGTAATGTATATTAATTTCATTGACATGTCATCAAGAAGAATGGTTTCTGCTTAAATTATGTAATTCATATTATTAAAAATAAAGTCAGATTGCAGTCCTAAACAATATTTCCAAAATGTACTTCAATGGCCATTGGAAGCCAATAGAATTAAAGTAAATAAATTTGAAGTCACTAATATATTAAAAGATCTGTCTACAATTATTTTTATACATATGTTCTTTGGAACAGATGCACAATTATTGCATTGAAATTTAATCAATTTAATTATTGCATCGAAAATTAATTTGCTCTAAAATAAAAAAGGTAACAGAGAAACTGTTATGAAGTCGAGTATAAACTTCAAATAAAGACATATGTACGTTTTGAAAACTTTCTCCCTCTTTTTCAAAGTATCACATTAATATTGAATACTACATAATATCACCCATAAAATTATTTCACCTGAACCTATCCAGTTAAAATATGCTTTCAATTTTATAATTTACAGTTGTTCCATAAATTGTTTCTTTTCTAGAACTCAGAAGAGGAAGAAATGTGAAATTGAAATTATGAAGTCAAACAAATTCTGAGTATCAATAAGAAATATTTTGGGTTTTGCATTTGTAACCGTGTGCTCAAAAACAAACAAAAGGAAACAGAGGAACGAAAATGTGCATACTATTTGCTAGGGAATATGTTAGAATATTTTTTCAGTTCTTCAGTTTAGTGCTCTTTATCATTCTTAAACTGTCACTAGTTAAAAGGCCAGTTTTTAAGTCCAGGTTCCAGAAGAAAATTAAAACCTCGTCAAGAATTAAAAATGATTCTTTTTCCACTTCATCTATATAATCCACATTGATATACCAAAATTTTGTAAATTCTTCACCTGCAGATAATTAAATGCTCTTAGTATTAAAGAAAAATATTTTTTTCAGGACAACTAACAAATACTTATTTTGATTCAGGGCATTCCGTAATCTGATAGTTTTCTGAAAACTAGGCAGCCTTACACCTATGTCTTCTACACAAATTTCTCTGGACAGGCGTGGTGGCTCATACCTGTAATCCCAGCACGTTGTGAGGCCAAGGTGGGTGAATCATCCGAGATTGGGAGTTCAAGACCAGTCTGGCTAACAAGGTGGAACCCGTCTTTACTGAAAATACAAAAATTATCTGGGTGTGGTGGTGCGCACCTGTAATCCCAGCTACTCAGGAAGTTGAGGCGGCAGAATCCCTTGAATTTAGGAGGCGGAGGTTACAGTGAGCCCAGATCATGCCTCTGCACTCCAGCCTGGGCGACAGATACAAACTGCGTCTCAAAACAAAAACAAAAAAAATCTAAAGCTTTATGGACCATACTTCTCTAAAATAAGCGGCCTCAGACATTAACCATTGTTTCTATTTGAGTCCACTAGCAGAAGCTGTGCTTCACTCAAAGAATCTAAGTATTAGGGATATCTCATTACTTTTGCCGTATCTTTGTGTAATTCACAATTTTAGGAATAACTCCAAACTTTCTGAATCAGTTTTCAGTTAAAGGATTCATTAATCCATTACAGAGTGAGTTTTTTGTTTTTTTTTAAGAAGTTGATGACTTTATGTGATGAAAGCTGCACTTTCTTCTTCAAAAAGGATGTGATATATTAAAATATATCAAACATAGCTCTCCAAAGTATTATCTCAATATCCTTGGATCTACAATGCTAAATATTAAAAGACAGCCCACTTTACCTACCGACCTCTTTCTTGCTGTCTGGAATGTTGACAGTAGGCCAAACAGACACAAGTGTCATTTCTGGCCGGGCGCGGTGGCTCAAGCCTGTAATGCCAGCAATTTGGGAGGCCGAGGCGGGTGGATCATGAGGTCAAGAGATCGAGACCATCCTGCTCAGCACGGTGAAACCCCGTCTCTACTAAAAATACAAAAAATTAGCTGGGCATGGTGGTG